GTAATTTACACAACCACCCATTCCACATCTTTGCGGTACAAACAAAACTTTTTAAAAAGGAAAGTACAAAACATTTTTATTCAGCTAAGCTTATAAAACAGAACCAAGCTCATAAACGTAACATTTTTAAACCAGCCGTTTCAGTGAACTCGTGGGCCAGGAACGCACTATTAAAAACCACTAGCTATATTTTCACTAACTCCCAACTTGGGATTTCAAGTTCAAATACATAACCAAGCAAATTTGGCTTCTGGGAACAGATCATCTCCTAAGTATCTGACAGAGTAAAGAAATCACAGTTAATCAGAAGGAAGCTTATGTTTGAATCTCGTTTTGCTATCTGACTATCAAAGCCGATGTACCATTAAAAGCACTATCCTAGAGAGAAATAATCTGAAACGATTAGATCAAAATAACCTGCCAATTAACCATGACATAATTACACTACCTAAATGACAGCAAAGTCCTCAGAAGATAAGAGAGTTTAAATACCATATTTTATAGCCTACTAAAGCTCCAAAGGCATTTCTGCAAAACAGAGCTGAATTTGAGCTTGGCAGTTTCATAAGCTCTTGTTAAGCCTATGGCTGAGCCTATGCTAAAAATGATCACCTATAAAAAAAAATTATTATTATTTGTAGAGATGACTGGTGCTGGGCATCAAATAGATACCCAAGCAAAAACTAAGAGCTTTGTTCGAGTGCAACAATATAAAGGGAATCAATTTTAACAAAGATAGCTTAGGTTGCTAAAAAAGTTCAAAGTACAGTTTAGTATCAACCCACTGTTGCTGTTATAGGACTTCTCCTCATACTTGAAGTCAAACTGAATGCTTACTAAAATAAGGAGTGATGAAGTGAGCAAGTTTCGTGACTTCAGTACGGAAAAAATCTACGCAGAAGAAAAGGCTGGATCTGCTGACAGCTATTCTAAACTAATTTCTTGAACTTTTGTGTAAGAAGAGATTACCAGACATATTTTTTTTGCATGTTAATGCAGTATTTTGCTATTTTTTTTAAAACTTTTCCTCTGATCTCAGTACTAGGTTGACTTTCACCTACTCTAGAACTCTAATAAGGTTTTTTATGGTTCAGTATAATTTAAACTCTATATTCATTTGACGCAGAAGTTGCACAACTTCCGCTGCTTAGATAAGCTCCCCCGTGCAATGGTGGTACAAACAAACAAGAATACTTCAGTAAGCAAACCAGTGCTTATAGCTTTTGAGCTGTGTTCACGTTTAGGACACGGTGCAAATGCAATGACAGCTTTATCACAAGCATTAAGTCCAGCTACTTCCTATCAAGCTCAAAACTGAACACAAAGAAACGTCAGAGAAATGTCTTTCCTGGGAAACGATAGCTAAGTTTATTTGTTCAGGAAATACGGCACAAGGAAAAATCACCACCTCATCTCACAGACAGGAACTGTCTGTAACTGTAAACTGTAAGACAGTTTAAATACTGTCTGTATTTAAAATATCACTTATGAAAGTTCTCTATTTCACCCTTTGCTCTTAGTAGAGCTGAAGCATTCACGTTTAAAGTGAAAGCTGAATATATTACAGGATACCTGCTGAAGCACTAATGGATAAAAAAGGATTCAGAGTTTATCTAGCAAAGAGATACTGCATTTAAAACAGAGTTTCACTGCACATAAAGCATTCAGCATTCAATGTATTCGCTCACAGCCCCCCATTGAGAGTAGAAAAGCTTAACAGGCAGAGCAAATCTAAATTTAGTTTATGCCAGGCAGGATTCTGTAAACATCAAGAAGTGAAACCTACTGACCTGCCTACAGCAATCAACAAATTGACTTCTCATCAGTGTAAAATACATCCTGGAAATCTAAACTCATGGGCTAGTGCCAGTTATAGAAACAATAACATCAAGGTTTTCCACGCAACTCCAACATCTCAACTTTGCAGGGAAGATGAGATGTGACTATCTACCCATACCATTACGAATCCCTTGACAAGTCTTTCAAAGAGCAGCAAAAAAACCCTATATTCTTCATCTTTTTGCATGAATAACTGCAAGAACCTTTCCTCTAACAGAGAAGGATCTGCAAAACAGACAATCCTCAAAACATTCCCACAGTTGGCAAAGCTCAGCTGTTTGTATTAACAGAAAGAACACCAATGCACTAATTCTGCACTTCCGTGACAAATGAGAACGTGTTCTTCATTGGTTCTTGTAAAGAAACTGGAAGTTCAGACACAACATTTCAGTGAACTACACAATAGAGACTGATATAAATGTTCCTATTGTTGCAAAAAAAAATTAATTTCTTTCCATTTTCCAATACTCACATTACTGTGTCATTACTGATTTCAAGGAGAGTATACGTGATTTAATAGTCAGTTTCTAAAGTTACTCTACTATTCTGGAGCAATCATCGACAGAAGGAAGTCAATGGCGAGGCTCAGGAGCTGAATGCAGTAAGAAATTCAGGGAGAATCATTCTCCTAACTGAGCGTGAAATTCCCAACAGGGTATTTATCCTAGCTACGTTTCAAACGCTAGCTAGAGATTAAATGTTCCAGATATTAAGTTCCCCGTATCCTTTTTAGGAGCCGAAAGGAAACTGTACTCTCTTCTACCCTTAAAACCTTACCTTAAGAGCTTTTGTCTGTTGGGGGGGTGGGGGGGGGACCTCAGTCAGACTACTTCCCTCAAGCCTTATTTTACAATAAGCAACGCGATACCAACGGCACACTTGGCAATTTCACTGCTGCCTTTGGAAAGCAACCACAGAATCAAGCCTAGTAAGCTGAGATCTGCCCGCCCTATTAAGAAGTACCTCAGAGAAATCATTCGCAGAGGATTTCCTACCTTTGCTACCGCGAGCTGCGTTAGGGGCAGTAGCAACGTCGCTGCAACTGCTAGGGTATTCCAGAGCAGCTGCTGAGCGTTACCCCCGAGAGCAGCTATAAGTTAAAAAAAGGCACCCCCAAGGCGACAGCACGGCGGGGGGGCCCACCCCGCACCA